CGGGGGAAACTAACAATCACCTATTCTTACATTGCACTTTCACAGCACAAATATGGTCCATGTTTCTCAACTATTTAGAAATGAAATGGACTATGCCTGAACATACAGCTGATTTACTTAGTTGTTGGATCAGGAGAGGAGGTAGCAAGAGACAGAAGACCTGGTGGAATTTGATTCCACATTGCATTTGGTGACAGTGTGGAAGGAGAGGAATAGTAGGAATTTTGAAGATATATCCAATTCCATTCACAAGGTTAAATGAAATTGCATTGTATCTCTATATTTTTGGTGTAAAGAGATAGGATCAGAGGATTCAGATCAACTTTTAGAACTCTTAGGATCCTTGTAAGTATTATGATTTTTGTTCTTTTCTGTTTTTTTAAAGGTCCCCAGCATATCCTTAATGCTGAAGAATACAATGTTTACCAATTCTCAAAAAAAAATGCAAAGCGGTGTCCGAAAATTAAAGGATGACATCAACAGTAGGTCGTTAAAGAGAATATTTATCAAATCTCAACAGCAGTTGGGAGACAATAATCACAAGATAACTTCCTGCAAAAATATGAGATCTCAAATACTTACTTGTACCAATTAAACAAACTCACACCAAGCATTATAGTCATGAGACCGACCCCTTTCATCCAGGTAAACTTATCATGGAAGTAAAACACAGCAACCTGAAAATGCCACCGACATAATTGCCAATTAGTTTCAGAAACTGAAGCAACAACAGATTCCAAAACAGAGAAACTTTTCAACTAGTGGAAACTGAATAACTATCAGTTTAATTCGATTGAAGATACACAGTGGCTTGAAGTGAAGATATCTAGGAAAATGAAGTCTCTGAACAATAAAAGCATTTGTAGCCGAAAAATTGCAGTTGCATCCGACATAACCACTCACGGGACATGGGGAAGAAATTTCCAGGCTTTTAAATTAACAATCCTAATGTTCATTGAGAAGAAACAACTAACAAATTCCATAGAGTAAACTGCTATCAGAGAACTGATGAAATTTGAATAACTAAACCAGTATTACTTGTATGCTCTTTTTTCTTTGATCAGTCAGTACATTACTTTACTTAAGAAAGAGATATAGATAACTTGGTTTTTAGATTATACCACGATAGTGACAGCCTCCTTTACGACTCCCGCTATTGTCACTGTTACTGCACTAGTAACAGAGACAAGAATATATTCCGTCAACACCTGGAAAAAAAAGCAGAGAAAGAAAATTATTTGTACTACGTGCATGGAAGGTTTATCTAATTTGTTTATTGCTATTAGATATTATAGTATTTAGTAGACAACCACTTTCTGCAGACAAAAAAGAGCCAGCAAAGAAATCTGCTCCTAGAATGTTGGATAATCAACAATTTGAACTTATTGACGTTGAGTTAGATACATGCATACCATAAAGAAAGCCAAGGTTCCACCAAAAAGCATCAGCAAACAACTTCTAGTTATGTGCCATGAACTATCGAAGTAACTGCTGCTTCCAAACTCTTGCCATGGATCAAAAATAAGAGACAGCATAGCAGTTGAAAGAGCCATTACTGGAGTAACGTAGCTCATTAGTGTGAGTGGATTTTTTAAACCTGAAAAAACCGAAGCAAGTGCTGTCATATACAACGTATGTACAAGCTACATGGTTAATATTTCAAAGGACATGTTTCACTATATTAAATTCCAACTAGCTACTTTACTTAAAAGTAAACATGACTTTGTCAGAAAGAAACACAAAGGATATACTCCCTCTGTTAAGAATGAAAAAAGTATTTTTGAAATTTGTGGTCTAAAACAAGCCATAGATATTTGTGTGGCTATAAATTACCTTATCAAGGATCAAAATGAGAAGTTTAAAGTTAAATTGATACTAAATATAGAAAAGAGCCATTTTTGGGGGGATTGACTAAAAAGCAGAAAGGGTCACATAAATTAAGACAGAAGGAGTGTTCGGGAATCGTGCAACTCAAAGAATGCCTTATAGATTCGATGAGTAGAAAATTGCTCTTTGTACTCAGAGAGAGTACTCACTTTTATCTGGCTTAACATTTTAATAACCCCAATGTACTACTTATTTTTGTTTACAGTTCCCATAAGTGCCGAGAAAAAGACTAAGCACTTCGTGCATTTCTTGGAAAGGTGTGTGGATGGGGCATCAATAGACCACTACATTAGTTTGAACTTTCTCACAAGCTTATGCAATGCTCTTATGGGATTGGGCAAACTGCAGATCAAAACATTTTTTCTGACAGGAAATTTGTTGCTTTCCTCCAAGAATTAAGGCCTTGTACATAAGGTTGTAAAAGTCAGAGGAACCTTTAACGAAGTAGTATGGACATGAGTCTTGGAACCGAAACAACTTGTCCAACTCCTGCGGCAATACGAGACAACCACTTTGTTATTGCATAAGACACCGGATGTGAGCTTCAATTTCATCCATGTACCAATACGATATCTAACATCATCATTAATCTCCCCATTTCCTTGGATTATTGACTCAAAATACTTGAAACTTCCTCTCTTGGTTATGACTTGTGTATCAATCCTCACTTCCACATCTGACACGTGACATGTGTCAATGAACTTGCTCTCTAAGTACTATGTCAAATTTTAAGGAGCTTCATGCGCTCAAATTCGACTGAAAGTAATGTGTTTTGCCATGTCATCTTGAGGGGTCATGAGAAAGTTCTGCCAAAAAGAGGTGTCTAACTGATCACTGAATAGTTAAGGTGTATACTTAGGTGTACACTTGGCAGTTGGTGGCAAGTTTAAGAGGCTATCCATGAATTCCACCTGCAATAAATGTTGCCTACCAGACTATCCAAACAAAAAATTGATTAACTATCAAATTTGGCCAGACTAGGGTTAAAACAAAATGTGACAAAACAAAAATAATAAATAAAATACTTTTTAGACCAATCAGTTTAATTGGAAGTGTATACAAGTTGATTGCAAAGATTCTCACAGAAAGATTGAAGAAAGTGATGCACAAGCTAGTAGATACTCAACAAATGGCCTTCCTAAGAGGAAGGCAAATAACTGATGCAATCTTAATTGCCAATGAGTGTCTAGACTCGAGAGTGAAGGAAAAGTCCCCAGGAGTCATGTGCAAACTGGACATAGAGAAAGCGTATGATCATGTCAATTGGAGCTTCCTACTTGAAACCATGCAGAGAATGGGCTTTGGATTGAAATGGATCAGATGGATAAAGTTTTGTATAAGCACTGTTAAATTCTCAATACTGATAAATGGATCTCCTGAAGGTTTCTTTCCATCAGACAGAGGACTAAGACAAGGTGATCCCCTCTCACCTTTTTTATTCATTATAGTGATGGAAGGCCTAAACAATATGCTAAAGACTGCTCACACTAAAGGGTGGATAAGGGGCTTTAATGTAGCAAATGAGGGGAATCTAAGATTGGAAGTCACTCATCTCCAATATGCAGATGACACTCTCATCTTCTGTGATGCAGAAGAAAGCCAACTTAAGATCCTGAGAGTGATACTCATTCTTTTTTAAGCAACTTCAGGACTACATATCAACTGGAGGAAAAGTCTGATTTTTCCAATTAATGAGGTGAACAGAATGGTTGGTGGCAAGTTTAAGAGGCTATCCATGAATTCCACCTGCAATAAATGTTGCCTACCAGACTATCCAAACAAAAAATTGATTAACTATCAAATTTGGCCAGACTAGGGTTAAAACAAAATGTGACAAAACAAAAATAATAAATAAAATACTTTTTAGACCAATCAGTTTAATTGGAAGTGTATACAAGTTGATTGCAAAGATTCTCACAGAAAGATTGAAGAAAGTGATGCACAAGCTAGTAGATACTCAACAAATGGCCTTCCTAAGAGGAAGGCAAATAACTGATGCAATCTTAATTGCTAATGAGTGTCTAGACTCGAGAGTGAAGGAAAAGTCCCCAGGAGTCATGTGCAAACTGGACATAGAGAAAGCGTATGATCATGTCAGTTGGAGCTTCCTACTTGAAATCATGCAGAGAATGGGCTTTGGATTGAAATGGATCAGATGGATAAAGTTTTGTATAAGCACTGTTAAATTCTCAATACTGATAAATGGATCTCCTGAAGGTTTCTTTCCATCAGACAGAGGACTAAGACAAGGTGATCCCCTCTCACCTTTTTTATTCATTATAGTGATGGAAGGCCTAAACAATATGCTAAAGACTGCTCACACTAAAGGGTGGATAAGGGGATTTAATGTAGCAAATGAGGGGAATCTAAGATTGGAAGTCACTCATCTCCAATATGCAGATGACACTCTCATCTTCTGTGATGCAGAGAAAGCCAACTTAAGATCCTGAGAGTGATACTCATTCTTTTTTAAGCAACTTCAGTCTCCATATCAACTGGAGAAAAAGTCTTATTTTTCCAATTAAATGAGGTGAACAGAATGCAACATCTGACAGAGATCTTGGGAGGAGAAATAGGTAAACTACCAACAATATACTTGGGGATGCCTTTGGGAGACAAAAGCAAATCCAATGAAATCTGGAATGGGGTGCTGGAGAGATATGAAAGAAGACTATCTAGATGGAAAGCACAATATTTGTCTAGAGGTGGAAGATTGACCCTGATCAACTCAGTCTTAGATGCTTTGCCAGCATATTTGAAGTCAGCTTTCTCCTCTCCCCCCTAAGGTGGAGGAAAGAATTGATGCATTAAGGAGGAATTTTTTGTGGAATGGAGAGAAAGAATACAAAGGATTTCATTTGGTCAAATGGAAGACTGTAATTCTTTCAAAGAAACAAGGTGGGTTAGGCATTAGAAACCTGAAGAAACAGAACAAAAGCCTTATGATGAAGTGGTTGTGGAGATTTCCTAAAGAGGAGCAGGCTCTTTGGGTTAGAGTGATTCAGGCCAAGTATGAGAAGATAGATCACTGGAAAACTAAGGAAGTGACTTCTGCCTATGGTATTAGCCTATGGAGATCAATCAGAAATTTGTGGCATTGTTTCTTTCAAAGAACTAGATTCAATGTAAACAATGGAAGAAAGATTTTGTTTTGGGACGATAATTGGTTAGGAAATGGCAGCCTCTATTTTGTTTTGGGAGGATAATTGGTTAGGAAATGGCAGCCTCAAACAACTCT